TGCGGTGCTTACCCGTGTGCTATAGCTTTCCCATCGACACTGGCCCATGTGGGGCATGAGATGCGGGCCATGTAGACAATGATGCCTCTCGGGCCGCTCGAAAGAAAACCGCACACGCAACAAACTACTCTGAACACGTTTTCCAGATCGGAGCAAACATCATTCCTGCCATGCTTCACACAGATCGCTCGCGGCGGACTTCGCCTCTTCGCCTTGCACCTCACCGCACCCCTCCGCCCCCAAACCTCGGAATTTCCAACGCCGCGGGTTCGAGGAAGAAATCTGCGGAGACGCGGCCGGCCGAAAAATTGTCGCCTGCCATCATGGAGTAGAAGAGCACCGCGAAGATGTCGTGCGCCACTACCTCCATGGCCTGGCGGTGGACACCGAGTCCGAGTCGAAGCGGATGGGTCTGTTTGAGGATAACCCTTCTGTTTCTGGTCTCCTTGTTTTTTTGAAGGGAAATCGTTCTTCTCTGTGTTTCTTCCTTCTTTGGGGAAAGCAAAGAGAAGCTGAATAAGAAAAGCTTCCCTTTTGATAGGCTCCTAATTTTTTGAGGCAACCCAACCCTTCCCCTCACAAAAGTCCTTTGAAGGTCCAAATCGGCCATCTCCTCCGCATGTGCCTCTGACGTGTTTTTTCTTCTTTGTTTTCATTGTTTTTCCGGATAAGTGCCGTTTGCCGCAACCTACTCAGCGATTCCAGTTACCACCATGATATTTAGCCAAGGGCTTGCCACTTTTTGAACACAAGGAAAATGGCTACTTGCGTATTCTAGTGGTATCCGGGATCCACTGGGCTAACCTTCCCTAAACAGGCCGAATGCCCACCGCGATGCAGATGAAGAGCCCTGCAAGAGTCCACCTGGATCGCATCGAATCAGCAAAAGATACCACACACACCGGAAAAAGAAAGAAACAAAAAAAAAAACACTTGTAACAACACGCACGTGGTGGTTGTTCATTTGTGGTGAACAAAGGACCGCCCTTTTTTGCAGGGGGGAATGTGACTTTTATGTTGTCACAAACATTTATCCGAGAATCTCCATTTCCCCAGGTCGACCCTTTTGGAACGATGACTAACAATGAACCAAAGAAGCGAAAAAAATGAGCCAAACAAGGGAAAACATGAACCAAACAAGGAAAACCCCAAAGGTTTAATAGTCGAATCGACTTTGGGCAACTGAGCCAAGGTTCTTCAAAGTCTAGGCTCCCGGCTATAGGCAGATGTCAATCATCAGATTGGTTCAAATCTGTGCACCACACACTGGTCTGTGTCCCGGGCCAGAAAGCGGAATGCTTCTCTCTGACAGAGTTGGGCACCGAATCGCCCGGCGCCTGAGCTCTCTGCTTCAAAGAAATATGCGCCGCTTTGCTCAAAAGCAGATCCGCTTCAAAGAATCGAAATGGCCGTGGCTCAAAAATAGATACCCAAATTGGCACCGTAAATGGAACCAAAGACTAAAACCTGCGGTTTGCCCTGGCTCTTACATTTGAGCCACACCCAAATGTAGGACATATTATACAGGTCAAGCCTTTCAGTTGCCATAGCACGCTTCGGTCAGAAACTCCTCGACAAAAGATGCAACTCAACCAAGCTGGGCTGATCAAACTGAGCCTCTGCAAAAACCCTCACCTTTTGCTTTCCTTGAGGGATCAAATCAATCAGGCCAAAAGCTGAGTTGGAAATCTGTCTCTTTCCAGATGGCTTTTGGTCTCTTGGCTTGTATACTGGTTTCCTGAACCAACCGCTTGCGGTTCCAGAAGGCTTCTTGCCACCCCGCCTTTTTTTTGTTTTCCGGTGTTTCCGCTACCAAGCACATCCATCCGCGTTCTGAAGCAACCACTTGCGGTTCCATCTGCGTGAGGGGTTTCTTCGAGCTGAGCATGGTGCCAGGGCCATGGGCCCCAGTGGCATCACCTGCGGGATTCGTGACGAGGAATGACTTGGGTATGGGGCAAAATGAAAGCACCAGGGGTTACGCAGGTTTTAGTCCTTTCCATTTACCAGGGTTCAAAACTTGGGGTTTCTTCTTTTTTTTGACCCACAGCCATTTAAGAAGATGCTCCCGAAAAGCTTCTGGGGACAGTTGGGAGGGGCGGAGACGCCGCTACAAACCGGCCATTTGCAAACCAGAATGCCGGAGAGGTCACGTCGTCAGTAGGGGCCATGGATCAAACTGAGACATCAGCACAAGGCTCTTCAAATCCAGCCCAGATCCCATTTAGCAACCTGCAAAGTACCTCAAGCTCGAGCAATTTGGAAAATCGGGTTGCCCTTTGGCCCTCTCTCCGACTTTTCCGAGTTGCAACCTGTCGACCCCAACTCAACTCCCCTGTTCAACCATGGAAACCCCTCCGACGCCCACGCCCCCGCGCCATGGCGGATAAGGAAGGCTGGCGAGGGGCGGCTAAAGCGCTGGACCTGAGCGCAAGACGTACATGCTGACCGATAGCTGGACCTGTGGGGGGGGGGAGGGGAGGAGGGCGCGGACTGCTCAAAGGAATCGAAGATGGGGAAGGGGAAGGAATGGCCGAAAATGGGAAAGGGCCTTTGGGCTTCCTCTTTTGCTTCCCTACCAAAGAAGGCCCTTTGTTGCCCTGGGAACATCCTTGAACATTGCCGAACCACACTTCCATGCGCTCAGATCTTGGCTGGACCACCGCGCGATGATCAGCTGATCAGATCGCGATGAAACGGTCTCACTTCCATGTGTTTTCTTTTTTCTTCACTCTTAAGACTGTGGCCTTTTTGGATGGGAGCTGTTTGAGTTTGCGTCAGCTTCCGATTCTTCCGATGTTTGCGCCACTTGTTGGCCCGGCCCCTTAAGTTCTGGGCCTCTACGTTTCAGCGGGCTGGAGCCAAAACGGAGCGCCGGAAGGCCATTTCGAGGCTGAGCATGCCATGGCGAGAGAGAAGACTGGAAAGCTCCATACTGGTACCGAAATGGCACCTTTGTAAATGGAAACAAAGACTAAAACCTGCGCAATCCTGCTCTTGAATTTTGAGCCACACCCATACCACAAAAGCAAGGCGATGCTCCAATTGCGCTTCAGCTGGCGCCCCTTTTTGCACGGACTGCAGAAAACGGCATGGGAAAAAGTGAGCACGGAGCAGCAGGGAGCACGGCCACGCTCAGCAAAGCAAACACTGGCGGGGCTGAAATGAAACTGACACGAAATCCTCCCGTTCGGCAGGGCTCCGGAAATCACCTCAAATCTTCTCAAATCGTAGCAACAAAACTCCTCTGGCTTAGCGCGAAATAGTACTCAGTGATAACGTGGAAGCTGGCCCTCAATGTGTCTCCCCTGCAAGGTTGCTGATCCTGCTTTGGGCAACGTGCAGTTGCTTGCTCCAGAAACATCCGATGTCAAGTGGTTTACCCTACTAACATGTGCTGAAACACGCAAATCCTCAATCCGGCAATTTTAGCCCTGAACCATAGGTGTCCCTTTGGAAAGAAATAGATGGGTTCCACTGGTGAAGATTAGTTTTATGCCCCATTTTTCAAAACCATCTATTCTCCAAAAGGTCTTTATGTTAAGGGCCATCTGTTTGCCAGGGCCAGTTTCTTTTTTCAGGGCCATCTATTTGACCTAGGACCTAAGCCCTGCAAGGAAGCGCCTGTCACCTGATCGCTTCCCACTGCAACAAGTCGGTCGGCGACCGGAAACCGCCAGGCCCAAAGCGCTCACTCGCCTTCGCGTCTGAAGGGTGTCAGCTCCTGGGCTCGCAGCCAGGACCCGACTTAAGGCAAGCGCCTCATAAGAACGTGCACCACTGGAAGACACCGCCGCCAGGTTTTAGGCGTTTAGCGAAGCAAAAAAAACCGAGTACGTGTAGCAAGGTGCGATTTCTACCTTCTCGCTGCTCACGCTGGGTTCCAAAGAACACGCGACAAAGTGCCTGGTGATGTTTCAGTGATTTGACCTCCGCGTTGCCAAGTCTTGTGTTTGAAGGTCCATCGGCCCAAGGCCCGAATTGGAACTCAACATTGGCCCGATTGATACGAGTAGCTCCTTCTGTCTACATGCTGGGTTTTGTTGGCGCTTTGGATTACCGTTGTATGGCAGCCAAGGCTTTCTTCATCTGGCAAAACTCGTCCAAACAGCTCAAGTGTGCAATCCCCGCTTGACGTGAGAAAGTGTCCAGCTAAGATGGGGTGCTGGTCTCTTCGGCTGAAACTGGCCAAAACACCTTGGCCAAGCATCTTAAAACGATCACTGACTCAAGGGACCGACGCGTCCTTCTGCTTCAGAGCGCGAGGGGTGTTCTCCTCCTGGCGTCAATGTTCCGACGGAACCGTGCAAATGGTACGGGCCATGTGTTGGTGGGATTCCTCCGGCAAAAAAACCGAAGACTTTGGGGGCCAAAAAACATGTTGGTTCTATTCAGTTCGCAAAACCACCAAAGAAACTAGAATGCGTTGGGCAGGGTGTAGTTGAACTTGCTCCAGCATGTTTCTCACCTCTGATTTTAGGGCGAAGCGCTGCTGAACCCAACCTGCACGCCCACAAAAGTGCGTCTTCTTAGAGGCGAAAGCGGCGCAATTCGATGGGGCGTTTGGGGCAAGGTCCAAGTGCTTCACATGAGTCACAATCAAAGCCCGGTACTGAAATGGTCTGCCCAGAACTATGTAAGGAATTAAGAAGGCGGATATCCGCAGCTATTTGTGGTTGGGATCGACCCGTACTAAGCTTCTTCTACCTGGGTTTTGATTGTGGCTCACATGCGGCCGCTTTGGATTCGAATCGGCTCTTTCCCAATTCCCCGGCTGGGTCAGGTCTTTCCAGCTAGCCCGAGGGCTGATTTGCGCTTGGGATTTCCCCAAGCTATTGTTCTGCTCGCACGAACGCTTTGAACAAACCAAACTTGTGCACACTCATATCCGTGAAAACAGGCCTGTCAAATGTTAACAAATTGTGAGGTCGAAGCTCTGGACTCGGCCGCGAGTCCCAGAGTGCCAACGGAATCTCTGGACGACATCTGCGTCTCAGAGCTCACAACTCCCTGTCGGAGTTGCATGGGCAAAATCCTGAGCGCTGGAACTTCGGCGATTGCTCTGCCACACTGCCACTCTGCATGGATGCATTCATCAAACCAATTTTTTTACCACTGCAAACCACTCCTCTGCCGGAGCCTTTCGGGTTTAGGAGTATTCTGTTTCAAGGGTAAGGAAACTTCTTTTTTGGGGTCAGGAGGGTATGTGCTCCTCTGCCAACCAGTTGGTGATACGCACATGGGCAATGAATGTGATACGTTCGTCGAAACCAATGTCAGCATCAAGAGGTTGAACTGTCGGGACGTCACCCAACAACATGGTCTCTGATGGGCTTCCGACTGGCATTTAGTGCCGCATTGACGTCTCCCTCGAGATTCCCCGCGAGACAGGCCGTCAGAAGCTGTAGTACTGAGCCAACAGCGAACAAACCAACCAAGCAACCAACCAACCAACCAACCCACCCACCCACCCACCCACCCACCCACCCACCCACCCACCCACCCACCCACCAACCAACCAACCAACCAACCAACCAACCAACCAACCAACCAACTCAAAAAAAAAAAAAACAAGACAGAAAGAAAGAAATAAATAAACAAAGAAAGAAAGAGCGAAAGGAAGGCAACAAGCTAATAAACCAAACAGCAAACCAAACCAAACACGCCAAACACACAAGACTCGATGCACAAGCACACACAAATCACCCAACAGAACCTTGAGGGGCGGGGAGTGAACACCGACAAACTGTAAAGTCACTTGGGTATGTGTGTCAATATAGGCGTTCCCACAAAATGGGTATGGGTCAAAATTAAACCACTAGGGGACCGCAGGTTTGAGTCCTTGTTTCCATTTACCAGGGTTCAATTTGGGTACGCATTTTGACCCACAGCCAAATGACGGTTCCTTTTTGGCATGGCTTCAAGCTAACCTCTCACTTGCCCAGAGGACCCAGAAACCAAGCACTAAACATGGACCAACAAGGTTAAAAGGTCGATTCGCTTTGGCCCGCCGAGACCTAGAGGCTGCCCCGAAGAAAAAAGAAGAAAGAGGCCCACCTGAGTCATTCTCAAAACCAAAAGAACTGAAATGGCCTACCCTTTCAAACCCGTGCAAACCACAAAAAAACAAGCTGAGATCCGCCCCCCCCCCCTCCCCCATTTCTGGTTGGGAAGGGTCCCTTAGACCCGGGTTTTGACTCCTTTGGGTTTTCCCCCGACCGTCGGAAGGTCGGGTCGCGGTAGGTGCCGCTGTCGCCGGTGGCGCCGCAGCGGCTCTCGGTGCCGTCCATGTGGTCCGGGCCCGACCAGCCGCAGTGGTGGCCATCCGTGGAGGGGTCGTACCTCAGGCGACCGCTCTGCCGCTCCGGCGCCGAGCGGCGAATCTATCTTCGGGCGGATTTGGAACGTCCGCTGTGCGGATTTGTCGTAGACTGATTTTCGACGCGGCAACACGCGCATGTGGTCCAAATGGAGGAAGCGCAAGCATCTTGAATGTGGCTGCTTTGGGCCGTCCATTCCGCTAAAAGCTGCAAACCACACACACAAACAGACAAAAAACATGAAGCCAAAAGCCACCTGACAAAACAAGCTCCATTTGAAACCCCAGTCTGGTTCATTCTGTAAGGAAGCTACAGTAACGTCACCTCGGTCCAACCACACACATACACGCAACGCACAGCACCAACCGCTTCAGTTGGATATTCACCCGTCACCTTCCGAGCTGCTTGGCACCGCCTGCCTGAGTTGTCTCGCAGCTCTGTCCGGCGAGGCTTGCAACCTCCTGCGGGTTCTGAATGATTTGCAAGCCCAATGCCCCAATGCTCACTAGGATCGAACACAAAACCTTGCTACCATATTTCAGATGAAACAGCAATGGCAAGTACTGTAATTGCCAGGCACGGCAAATGTGAGCTATCTCAGTCTAAATTGCCAGCCTGTCCCAGTGTGAAAAAGTTCCTCGGCCAAACAACTCTTACCCACACTGTGGAACATTGAAACCATGGTTGAAACCATGGTTGAAACCATGGTTGAAACCTTTGTTGGTTGGTATTTACAACGGGAGACGTATCGTTCCAGGGTTTCTGGGGTGGTGGGAAATGGGCATGGGTCAAAATTAACCACCAGGGCACCGCAGGTTTCAGTCCTGGGCTACATTTGCCAGGGACCCATTTTGGGTACTATTTTTTGACCCACTGCCAATGGCTTTCGTCCATCCACCGTACGGGGAAGCTTTCAGCTCAATCCGGCTTTCGCTCGCTCCTGGAACTGCTCCTCGCTCATGGGCCAGTCGCCCTCGCTGCAGCCGCTGCGCGAGGCGCAGGTGGTGTCGCAGTTCTGCCCCGCCGCGCTCTTCACCTTCCCAGTCGGACCAAAGGTGTGGGTGGGGTGGGGTGGGGTGGGGTGGGTTGGGTGGGTCCGGTGGGTTAATGTATGAATGTTAATGTTAACCCCGGATTTATAAACCCCTGGCTGATTTTGATTGGGGGGTGTCCCCTTTCGATGGGAGTTGTCACATTTGGAGGGAACAACCCCCCTAATGATGGGACGGGTTTATTAATGCTGGGTCAACAGTATCCTGCTGGTTCTCGGTAGGGAAGCAGAAATGGAGTGACCCAAACAAAAACCATCCAACTGGTGGTTTCCTTTCAGGGAATCCCCAGGTTCATTCCAATTATCATTTCCTATCGCACCAGCATGGAAGGGGGTGAAACGAGACACCCACATTTTGCCCGCACCGCGATTTGCGCTCACACCCCTGCTGCTCGGACGCTCTTGTCGGGCATCGGAACTTGCTCGACTCTGACCATGCCATGAGTTCTGCCATGACTGGCTTGAGCTGGGGATCCCGAAAATGAAACTCCGCACCATGAGATGAAACATCTTGCTTACAATTACCCCATCTCAAGGTGAACGCTCACTGAAAATCGGTCTTGCTGGAAAACCCCGCAGCTGGGGCCGCAGCCCATGTCACGGCCGCACACGGGATTGCCATCAGCACCAGCAGCTTGACCTGGGCAGGTCGCCAGCCGACTGCTAACAGTCCCCACCTTCCAACTGTCAAAACGTCGACACAAGCCGCAGAAGCGTTTCGTTTCGTGCACTTGTGTCGGAACCAAGTTCATCTCAAGACCCCCCAAGGCCAAGTTCCATGTTTTGTAGCAACCATCCCGAGTGCGTGTTGGCCAGGTCAATGGCTGTGGCCGAGCTACACTGCGCATCATCTCAGCGGGAGGAAGACAGGGGCACTAGCGATCTTTTTCTGCCGCTTTGAGCCAAAGCAAAGCGGCGACGGGATGCAGCCTAAAGCCGAAGCCCGTCTCTCCGTTCCAACACCCACCCTTGGGGGCCCTTGTGATGCAACATGCAACAATATATCGGTGGCCAAAAGCACGTTTCGTACCCAGAAAAGCAACTGAGCCCCGCGTGCCAAGCAAAAAAACAACAGCCACAGATTTGTGCCAACCAGCCACAGATTTCAACATTTCCCCGGGTTTCCCCTTATACACACCGAAGGTTCGGGCACTTCGGGCACCCGAAAACCCACCTCCAGCACGACCCCCAGCGACCGCCAAGCGCGACGTCCTGGAGCTGCTCGAGGAACTCCTGGAGGCCCTTCGTGCCCAACGGCCGCTTCCTAGCCGCGGCTCTTCCGGTCCACGGCTTTTCCGGTCCGCGGTTGCCAGGACGCGGATCAGTTTTTTAAGTGGGCAGGTCGCCTGCAACGAAAACAACCCCGGGGCTGGCCTTCCTAACTTTGGGGCAAAAGATGGGTCCTTTTGCCGTGTTCTGAAGGACCGGAGACGCGAGAAGGCAGACAACCGCAGCGAGAGCTGGAGACTGTCTAAGGAGTCGTCTGGCCACGTACCCGGACGTTCACCGCCATCTTCTCCTCCTCTTCCTTGCCTTGGTGCAGTTTTGCTGAGAACGAATCGGAACTCGGAAAACCATCCTCTGGGGTGTGATCAAAGTGGTTGCCCTTTCGGAAAAATCGACATTTGAATAGCGCGTTGCTCGAGCTGATGAACACTATGAAATCAAAGTCCGGATCCCTTCTGGCAACTGCGGTCAACAACATGCATGCTTTGGACTGACAAGCCCTGCCACTGCCACACACCTGACACCTTCATGGGAACATGCTTTGGATGTCTCGTTTTTCACACCTTTCTTGGTCGGTTCAAAAGGAAAGCCACAGAGAAACTAACCATATTTTGGCTCGAGACAAACTCGCTGAGATGGAGGCCAACTACGAGGATGTAGTTGAACTGTGCCACCTCGCAGGTTCACATTGGGTCTCTCTTGTTACGGTATACCCTTTTTGGGGTTGGTTTAAAGGGAAACCACAACAAAAAACCACGCTTTATGACTTCGGGGGAGGTCTCCTAAAGAAAGACGCACCCAATTGGACAGCTTGGAAAAGGGGGCACACATGAGGTCCCCAATGCTCAAGGGATGTGAGTTGACGCCAGGTCAATGAGCTCCTAGTTTGGGACCTTCTCGGCATTGTACTAGGAATCTACGCTTCGTTCGCACATCGTCTCCAAGTTAAAGGACCACCTTCAGCCTCGAGCCATTGGGATTGTCTTGAAATGGGGGAACTCGATCCTCAAACCGTTGGCTTTTGTTTGGCCTCCCTTTAAAATCACCCCCTCCCCTTTTGGGGCAAAACACTCACCCCCATTCTGGAAGCCTTACAGGGTTGGTGAGCGGCCTTTCGCTCTCGCGCGCCTGAGCCTCACGGACCTTCTTGTTGAGCGTGCCATCGCCTGAGGCGGATCGGACCGTGCCGAAAGCAAAACGGGGAACTCGGGCCGAACGTGGATCGGGGCCTGGGATCGGGGCTCAAAAAACGTCTTCCCTCCCCCAACTCAAAGCAAAAATTGGTCTTCGGGCAAAAACCCAGGCCCTCAATGGCAATGATGGATGCCGAAAGCATGAGGCGCTGCTGAAACCCTGGTTTCTGAATCAAACGGTCTTGCTAGCAGAAAGCATCGACCTGATCTGCCTCCCCGACCCAGCGACCCAGCGACCCAGCCAGGCCCGCGGCCGAGATTGACCTCAACCTCGCAATCTGTTGCGACCCATGAGATCGTGTACGGCGGAAGGGAATCAAAAAAACAAAACAGAAAGCCAACAAACATGCCCCCTCTGAGAAAACAGCAAAACACGCCGAATGCACTTGTGAATCGATTTTTTTGTGGGTAGGTGGGCGTTCCACGACAATTCCGATCGCTGCACACCTTGGATCCCTTTGCGATCTTCACTGGTTCAGCATGGTTCAACATGGTTCAACAGCGATCTAAGCCCTGAACATGGAAACCGCGAGCATGCAGCGCATCCTTCACGTACTTTGCGTACCTCACGCGAGGGAATCAGGAGTGCAGCGGTGCAACGAGGGCCACCCCGAAACAGCTCAGCGAGTTGACCGCAAAGATTGACATCTGCAACTCGAACTGAAGCGTCAGCCAGTCGTATCATGCAGGGTCGTGCTTGGATTCGGACTTTGATCGGGTCACAATCCTCACATTCACGCGGGTCACTCGAAGGCATCATCGGAGACAGGCACCACCATACACTGTCGTGGTGACAGCCAGAAGGGCCACTTGCCGCCCTCGGCCGGGTCTCGCTCGCTCGCTCGCTCAGTTCAGACCTGGGTGTGCCCTTTTTAGGTTGGACGGCTTGTTTCTGTTGGCCTCAGATCCAAAGCGGGGGTACCCTCAAGAAGAAGACGTACCCACATACAAAATCGTGATTCTCTCCCTTCTCGCCATTTGATTCAGTGCAAATGTTTGACACTGACACAGCAAACAGGTGCAGCTCGCTCGCAGCTTCTCTCGTTTTTCTCCGGCTAGTCTGGCTCGTCGGGATCACCTGGGCAAGTTGCTGTCTGCACCCAGTGAATCGATCAACTCAAACTAGAGTCAGAAAATGGAAGCGGAAATCACCATGAAGAAAACAAAGAAACTTCCTCCCGGTTTTGAACTAAAGAAACATCCTCCCGGATTGAAGTCAAGAAACAGTCTTAAGAAACTTCCTCTTGGCTTGAAGTAAAGGAAAACTCCCGGTTGCCTGCTATCATTTCGTAAGCCAGTTAATTGTGACAGGGACCCGGTGACCCGGCCCCTTTAAAAGGAACCTGGTCTTCCAGGAGCCTTTCGCTCAGGTTGCAACACCTAGTCCAAGAGCGCAGATCTGGGCCACGGGCGAGAAGCATGTCCAGTTCAGGCCAAAGCTCATGAGCCTTCTAACACAGCCTTCCTTGCCACCGTGCCAGTTCGTTGCTCCAAATAGTCGTCGGTCCCGGAAAAAAAGAAACGAACAAAAAACGCTTTCCTTTCAAGGTCAACCCAAAGGAAGACCGAGCAAAAAACACGAAGGGTCCAAGTCCGATGTTGGGTTCCAAGTCCGTCGCCGAGCTGCGCAGGTCGTCCCAGCACACGCCCTCAGAGGACTCGCTGCCCTCAGACCTGCGAGGTTTGCACAGGTCGCGCGGCTCAACAGACCAGCGGGGGGCTTTAAACAAATTTTACGGCCAGCACACACCGACAAGTGGAGCCAATCTCCAGAAACTGACTCCTTCAGAACTTCAGACTCGACTTTGGACCGAAAAAATACAACCTTAGGAGCCATTGAAGGTCGAAGACCCGCAAAACCCCAGCCTCTTGCCCCATCTCGTGCAGCCCCGCCTGCGCGGACCTTCGATCCCCGGCGACCGCGGCCGCGGCTCCGGCTGCGGCTCCTCTTTCGGCGCTTCCCGCAGGCACCGCGGGCAGCGGCAGCTGAAGCCCCAGTGGCTCCAAAGCTGCCGGCGCCGCTCCTGATTTGGCCATGGGTTTGCATATGGCAATCCCATTTGGGGGTGGATAAACATGCATTTGCCACCTTTGATGTTCACCAGGGGCTTCCTGGGTTTTGGCCCACAGCCATTTAGTCGGACCCCCCCCGAAAAATGGTGGGTTTTCCGGCTGGTTTCCCGTTAAAACGAACCAACAAAATGTATCCTTTTCAAGGAGCCGACCCATGTTTCGCGCTGCAGCCTGTACCACTGTTGCGAGCGTCTCACATGAATGGCGGCCTTCCCAAACGACCCTGGCGGGCATCTCGCCAGCCTCCAGAAGTTGATGGGAGACACCGAGCTTCGCTTTCCATCAGCTAAATAGAAACAACCCTTCAATGCAAGCTGTCCTCGACCGGCAAATCCAGGCGCAGCGGCAGGTAGGAGATGTTCAGCTCCTAGCTGGAGAAGGCTAATAGCTGTGGAGAGCTTTGGACTTTGCCAGAACTTGTCAACTTTCTGTGCCAGGCCAATTCTGAGGTACCACATGCCAACTTGGACAATCCTTCGGCCAAAAAACATCCTCTGAAACATGCCATCCTGCCTCTCCGGCAGGAATGACCTTCGATGCAGTGATGGTATTCCTGAGCTCGAAGCGCGACGGCATAGGACCAGAGAAAATTTGATCTGACGAGCAGATTCTTTCCCATAGGTCAACAGAAGTTGCCGTCAGCTTGCTCAAAGTATCTAAGCTCGCCGGCTCGAAGGGATGAAAGAAAAGATCTTTCCAAGCCGAGACACACCACCGTTGCACGGCTCTCGTCCCAGGAGAGGTCGAACTCGAGATTCGGCTCGCAGGAGTGGTTCAAGCGACCTGAGGTCATGAGGAACAGGCCAATGAATTCTTCATGTACACGGGATATTCTGTGCACGCTGGCGCCGGCTACATAATCAACATGCGCTTGCCGACATGCCTACTCAGGTGTTTACGCATCGTGGAGGGCCAAGACTTCCATGGGAGGTGCGGGCGTCGCTTTCTTGCCGAACGAGTTGTCATAGTCACAAGACTGGAGCCGCGCATCGGGAAAGAAGCCGGGTCGCTGATGTTGTCAAAGAGAACCTCGCCCTTGTCATAACCGAAGTCGCCCTCTTTGGCGTTCAGGTTAAACCTGCGCTCCATTGGCTGAGTCTCTCTCGATCCTCAGTGAGGAGTTATGTCATAATGTCAATCAGCATGAGACCTAGATTGGTCACTCTCGGATGAGAAGCATAGGGCAAACCATGGAACCATTCAACCACGCTTGGGAGGACCCTCTTGAGTTGTCGTAACTCTAGCTCGGCCTTGGCGGCACAGATAAGTGACCGCAATCCACGCCGGTCTGCACCAGTGGGCTGGTGGTTTATCCCGGTCTTGCGGCTTTATCTCCATGCATCCGTGCAGTACTTTATCCATGCACAACAGGGATAGCTCATTCCTCGAGCGTCACACTCGCTAGCGGGATCTCCAGACGATGGGGCCAGGGCACGATCCTAAAGCGAAATCGCAGCTACCTTCTGGGTCAGCAAAGTACTCAATTGTTCAGTCGTTGATGCGCATTCGGCTAATATTACTTCTTAACCCACTGGTTGGTTGGTTGGTTGGTTGGTTGGTTGGTTGGTTGGTTGGCTGGCTGGCTGGCTGGTTGGTGCGTATGAGGGAGACTGGCACAGGCCAAACTGTTGAACAGTTTCCCAGGCCAACCTGTGTCCTTACTCAGGGCCTATCTTTTTCTGCATTGCCTTGGGCAAATCTGGCGGTGGGTCAAAAGCCTGTACCCCTGGTGAACATCAAAAAAGGTGACAAATGCATGTTCATCCACCCCAAAATGGCTCGCCATAGGCTATGCCCCATGGCCATCTAAGTTCAAGCGAATCAAGAAACCTTTCGGTCAGTCCATTCCAGAATCATGCCGTCGCTCCCAAGGGGACCGGAGAAATCCGGCCTGAAGCCATTCAGCTGAATGGCCAAGCGCAGCTTGGCATACCTTCAGACGCACCCGGAGGCGCGAGCGAAACAGGGCCTGCCTGGATCTCCCCAAATCCAAAGTTGATGAATTCACTGGTGGTGTCCCAGGAAAAACGATCGCCACTTTTGAAGTTTCCAAAAAGGGAAATGGCTCGGAAACCCTGATCATCGCCACCATCCTTCAACATCTTAGCCAGCAACCAGCCCGTTTCACCAACCAGCCGGACATCAGGATGGCCAACGGTACTCGCGCCACGCCAAGGTTGGGACTGTAGCTCCGCAACGACGGAGCGACGTCTCCAACAAACCCCAAAGCAGAAGCAAAGCTTCCTGGAAGACTTGGCATCTCGACTCCCCAGATCCGAATTCCGCATCGCGGCAAGAGGTAACCATGGTGAGTTGTGTTTCCTGGCCCAAAATCCACCATGCGACAGGCAACCTTTTCGGCCTCAAGGATTTGCTTCCTTTAGGCATCTTGAGGCGCAACTTTTGGCACCCGCAGTGGGATCGATCCGTCCGGACGCTCCGGGCGAGTCGCCCGCGTCGCCCACGACTCCCGTCGAGCGTCCGAGCCGCTCCAGCGGAGCCAGCGAAGCGCTGGGCGGCAGCAGGCCCTGGGCCAAGCAGCTCCGCAGCACCCCGGCCTCACACGAAACGTCGGAACGTCGCTGGGCGGGCGGGCGGCGGGTTGGGACCGCCGGAGCAGGGGGAAAATTTCAAGTTGGATGGCCGCTAAGGCGGGAAAGCACGGGAAACCACGAGAAAACCAACGTGGTGTTTCGAGAAACGACTACCAATTTGAGAAACACCGAGGACCAAAAAGATACACTAAATGGGGGGGGGGTCCTCGAAAATGCGTTGGCTGGTATTTAAAGCGAACCAACAGGAAGGCAACCATAACTTAGGATTACTCACGGGTTCCCCCCAAGCGCAAAATGATGTGACAAATTACAAAAGAGGGATGGTTTATATCTCCCACCCAAATGTTGCACTATTTTAGCTTGACACGATTGAAAAGCCAAACTGCAAGGTGTGCGCTTCCACAACGGGACATTCATTCAGAAGCGGCATTTTGGATGAGTCCAACATAGTCTGCCCAAAGCCTTGTTTAATGAAAGGGGCTCCTTTAAGGAGGGAAAGGTTGGGTGTCTTTTAGGTGGTTCAAACACACATCACAACCTGGCCCATGTAGCAAACATGCACTTGGAGATCTCCGGCATGGGTTCAACCACGACCAGCTTGAAGTTTCAGAGCCTGGGGCGTGGTCTCCCGTAGATCCTTTCGACCCTAACGGAATTGATGCTTGGACAGGCCATTCGGAAGTCCATTGCTTCATGGACCGGACCTGATATGATACCCCCCGTGCGATGCGTTGCTTGGCCAATTCTCGAGTCTCCCAAACACTTCGGCTTGAGTGTTGTCTTTGCGAGGACTCTATGACCTCCCCAAGTCGGGCTGGATGTACGACCTGGCACTTGTTCACAAACGGGTGTGTTTTGTGAGAGCACCATTGCCAGCTTGGCTTAAAGGGAAAACAAACGGAACGTTATTCCCCACATAAACCACTATTTGGGGTGAGGTGAAGTGAGGTCGTCCAACCTGTTTTGGATTTCATTGGGCCACTCTCATTTGCTGGGATTTCATTGTGTCCAACCCAACCCCCTTTGTTTGCAGGTGGATTTCTGTGCAACCTTAAAGGTGCTTGGAGGTGAAATTTTGAACCTTGAACCCACCCTGGGCCCAACTTTCGCGTCGCCTCCTGCCGGGCCAGGCGCGGCTCGGGCAGATCCGCCGCGGAGCCGCAGCACTTGCTCTCCAGGAGCTCCTGCGGATGCCCCCCAAAGGCGGTGGTTTTTGGGTGCTTTGGGGCGAGAAAAACGGGTTGGAGACAAAGCCAAGACTGGGAGAAGAAAAGGAAACACAAGTGGGACACCACATGGGAAAGCAGAAGGAAGCAAAAGGAAACACAAAAGGAAACACAAGTGGGAAACACAAAATGGGAAACACAAAATGCGAAACACAAACCCAACGTGTTGTTCCCACAAGGAACCAAAAGAAAACCAAAAGACATGCGGTTTTAAGGTTCCAGAGACAAAGCCCACATGCGTCTCAAAATTGGATTTGGATTTGGAGGTAGGTGGCTTCCTTTTGATTTCCCTTTAAAACGGCTCCGTTGGTTTGAGACAATGGCAAACCTACATGGCTCACACCAAGACCTTTCAAAAAGCGACCTGCTAGCTTCCGCGTTGGGTGTGAGCAACCTCTGTAGCTCCACACGCTCAGGAATGATGACGCTAGCCCCGAGCAGCACTGTTGTGGCCGCTCCAGATCCCCAAAAATGTAAGCTCATCAACATGCGGGGCAACCTGGACAAAAACAGCAGGTGCCAACCAATCTTCACCTATATTTGCGCTTGATCGGCATCCCAGCCAAGAGTTTCTCTGGACTGGCTTCGGCTGAGTTTTTTGCGCTGAGACCTTACTGAGGCGGGTCTTGGGTGTGTTGAGTGGGTTTAAGGTTGCCTTTGGGTCGGTTTGGGTTGGCAGCCAGCCAGCCAGCCAGCCAGCACACACACAGCCAGCCAAGCCTGCTTGTCTCCAACTATAGGGGACCATTGATCCCTTTTTTAACAAGCCATTCTGAGTGGAACTCAAATTGTCCTCTGGTGTGTCTTGTTTTCGACCCCATGGATTTCGGCTTCCCTTCCCCTAGAAAACGACCACCTTCCCTCCCGCCAACACGGCACCTGAAAGGGGGTCGCTTTAAGAGTAAACCGATGATTTGAGGCTACCAACTCAAAACTCCAACGGACGCTTGAACAAAACACACTACAAAAGACCTCCTTATCAGTGGTTCCCCCTTCAAAAACAGCAACTACCCCTTTCGAGAGTTGTCTTGTCCCCACTCAAGAAAACGACCTTGCCACCCCCACAAACGAAACCACGACCCCCTTTTTGAAGGGGGGCACCAAACCCCCCGCCAAAACCGCCATGCAACCCAACAACAACAAACCCGAAAAACGGCCAGCACCACCCCCCGCTCGCTCGGCCCGGCGGGGCTCGCTCGCGACTCGCTCGCTCCGCAGCCCCCCGCGCGCCTGGCAGCGCCGGGCCCCGAGGCGCCGCAGCGCCGCCAGGGCCCCGAGGTGCGCGTTGGGGGCGAAGTCCGGCAGGCGCCGCCGCCGCTGCTCCGCCAGCCTCAGCCGCCGGCCCGGCCGGTGGCGGAAAGGCTGCTGCTCGGGTTTCGGCGGGAAGATCTCCACCCCGTGGTTTAGGCGGGTTTACAAATTCAAAACCACATAAGGGGACTTGTCTGTTCTATTTTGTTTTTGTGTTTTTTTTTGGGGGGGGTGGGGCACGCGTTGGTGTGGTTTTTCAGGGAGACCAAGGGGAAATCAAATGCAGTGCACATTCCAGATGCCGGATGTTTGTAGTTCATCTATGCAGGTATGCATACAAGCATGTAAGGATCGCCGGATTCCGTGCATCTGCATCTGCACTACGAATATTTGAAGCACGTCGTCCTCCAAACATGGCGAGAGGCAACCGCCTGGCGTGTGGAATGTGAGGTTCCCTGGCGCAATGACCACTGCCCGCTTTCTGTCAAGTTCCAAGGATTCAAACGATCAGTCGCTCCAAAGGACAGCACTCCTTATCCAAATCAGTGAATGACACAGGACAAGAGGCATCCTGTCGGAAAAGTCCCAGGCGGAATTGGATGCTGCGTCTTGGTAAACTAATTGATCATTGGGCGCGTCTTGTGAGCAGCTGAAGGCATATTCCTTCAGCGCAATGTGCGGCAAGCAGTATGGCGCCACTTGGAGCATAAATGAAGGACTCGAACACCATCACAAATGTTTGACTCTCGACATGCCAAATCCCCCTTCAAACAAAGAGCCCCTCATCTTTCCCATCCAGAACACCGGCGTTTGAACCCCCCGTCTTTTTCTCCGGCTCGTCTTTTTCCGCTTTTCAGCGCCCGGGGGTCCGATGCCCCCCCGGGGCCCGGGCAGCGCGCGGTACAGCTCCTCGTTCTCCGCCACGGGGGTCGCCACGGCGCTCACGAAGAGGGCCTCCTCCTGGAGCCTGCGGAGGGCGGGACGGCTGCAACATGCGGCGACATGCGGCGACATGCTGCGGAGGGAGTCGGTTTGGGGAAGCTCCTTTCCTCGCGTTGGAGGGAGGTTGGTGTTTCTCTTTTTCTGTTTTTTCTGTAGGGAAACCGCTCAGCCGTCAGCCAGTTACATGAGTCGTTTCTCAAAAGGGAAAGCTGAAGGGCAACATTCGGCGCTAAGTCAAATGACATCATGGCCGCAGAGCTCCAACATTCTGCTTTCGCAGGCCAGCCGTCCCCTGCCGGATCGGAAGCTCGGAAGTCAAGCCATGCAAGTAACCCAGGTTCAACAGCCAGCACGAGTAACTCGAGTGCTACAGGCACCGAACTGTCCAATTCTGGCCCCTAGGTAACGTCCACACGGCTCTAGCCCTAGGCAAGGTCCACACGCGGGTGAACCATAGATTCAGAAAAGCTCAGGGTCTAACTTTCTCTGGTGGACCTCATTTTTTCTGGTGCACAAAAGAGGTATACCAAAAAAATGGAAAACTACGGCAAATGGGGGAAAAAAAAAACACAAACTCAAAAATCCGGCCGAGGTGGCCTCCACCAGACCGCCAGCTGCTTCCACCTCCCCACCTCCCCCCGTCGCGTTTTCTCCGCCGAGTGGCACCACCTCCTGCGCCTGGAACTCCTTGGCCGCGAAGGCGGCCACGCCGCAGTGCGGCACGTGCCGCGCCACCACCCCCACCGCCAGCTGGAGAATCGGTCGAACCAAGGCACAGGAGATGCGGTTTTGGGGGGGGCGACGGGAAAAACGAGGGCGAAAATGAAGGCGCTTTCTCTCTCTTTGTTTTTTCCTTCCGCCGAGATCCACGCCGCCGAGGTTGGCAAAACGAGGTCAAAACACATGCGGAGGGGTGTTGACGGTGCTGGTGCAAAAAGCAAAACAAACTTAGAGAAACAAAGCAAACAACTCGCCCTTTTGGGAGGTGTCTTGTCGGGAAGGCAAAAGGCGACCGCAAATCCACATCACGCCCATTGCCAACTCATCCCATTTGGTTGGAATAAAAAGAAGTCTGGACAAATCAAAAAACATCCAAGCTCCAAGGCTGGCAGCCTGGATAAGCCTCAACATAGCCAGCTGGCGAGTCCCCTCGGGCGTGGCCTGTTGACATCTGAACAAACCGTCGCCCTCGACCCCCCCTTGCAACCTAACCCAACCCCAAACAAACCCAACCCCCACTCTACGCCAGATCTAACCCATCCCTGACCCAACTCCAAACCAAACCTCAACCCCGCAGCCAGCCCCCCACCCAAAAGAACAAGAGCGTTCTACACTAAACCGCACCCCACCCCAAACAAGCCTGGGAACCTGTGCAAAAAAATCGCAGGGCTACCCTCGGCCCTCGATGGCTGGCGCAGCCATTGGACTTGGCTTCCGGGGCTTCAGCCGATGCAACGCTTCCGATGTGGGCCAGAGAATGTGAAAATTTGGCGCACACCAGGTTTGACACCGCTGGTTTAGGGTGTGAGAATTGTGTGGGGCTGACTTCGGGTTTGGGTTTGATGGGGGTCGGCTTGAGGTCGGTCTCTTTACGGGTTTACAGTGGGGTCAGTTCAGGTTTGGCTTCAGTTGGTTTAGTTGTGGCTTAAATTGGGGTTTGGTGGCTGCTTGTTTGGTTGGGATACTGATACAACAACTCAGGGGGGAAAAAATAAAAAGCCCGGAGAAAAGCAAAGAACAAGAAAAGGAGAAAGAAACAAAAACACATGGGTCAAAATGAAACCACCAGAAGACCGCGGGGTTTTGTCGTTGGTTCCATTTGCCAGGGAAATCATTTTGGGGTTGCCCCATTTTTGATCCACAGCCAATATGGCCCTCTATGCTTGTAAACCCGCTGATCTAGGGTTGAGGTTTGGCATTCGGCTCACCAACCCAGGCGGCCAATCGACCCATCGACCGAGCCGAGACCGGAGCCACGACCCCGCCCGCCAAACCTAGGAAAATACACCGCCCCCCCCCCCCCAAACAGGGGTGCCAAAAAAAACCACCACCCCAACAAAGCAGGCACATGATTGATTTCAAAACCACGAGCGCCCTGAGAGCGCCTCCCAAGCCGGGGATTCTGCCATGGCTCTCAGCCTTTTAAAGGCGCTTCAGACGGCGAGAAGGGCTTGACTTGGGAAAAACAACCAAGCAGATAGACGCGCTTGACTCCTCTCTGCTTGGAACTAGGTGGTTGTTCCTTAACCCCTCTTGGAACTCGTGAGCACCTCTCGAGGCTTTTCGCCTGGGTGGCTTGGTGGCAAATTGGGAACACACCCTTGGCCGTGCTGATTCGCATCATTGCTTGAGCCTTGCCTGATCCAAAGCAGTTTGAGCTACTAAGCCAGCTTTGGTGGACAAGAGTCTGATCAACTCTGATGATCGCAGCCGCCTTTCTGGGTCCGATGTCCGAAAGCTTTACCTGAAACAGCTTTCGGGCGTCTGGAGTTGTAGCAGCCAGCATTCCAGTACCGCCCCCGCTCCCCCTCCCCAACAACTGCTTTTCCCATGTTCAAAAAATCCCCAAAAGCGCAATTTGCGGTTTGGCTGATGGGGGCCGGGGGGGGGTGCTGGTAGTGCTGGTTCGCTGGTAGGGTGATGGCATCTTTTTCTTTGGGGGCAACTCTTCTTGCCACGCCAACACTTTGATTGCGAGAGCTGCCCGCGGAGCGATGAGCCAGAGGAAACGACAGAATCGGGGCGAAGCCAATCCCCGGCCCAGTCCCGCTGTGGCCCCCGGGCATAATGCTCACCTGAGTGCGAGCAACTGCCGCCAAACGAAGAAGAAGAAAAAAGAAAAGAAGAAAAACGGAGGCGGGCAACTACCGCTCAAAACGAAAAACAAAGCAGGAGTCGGAGGCACAAGAGCTGCACCCTGCCACTCACCGGCGTTCCTCCAAAACGAACCAACACGGGCACCGCCTCACTCAAAGGAATCAAAGTGCCGTCGGGCGACATGACCTTCAGAAGGCTTCGTTAAAACTTAACCAACATACATCTCCCGGAAAGATGGCTCCGTTTTGGTAAATTCTAGAAACCAACCAAAACCCCACGGAAAATTGGCTTGCTCCCTTTCTTTGGGGCTCCATTTGGCACCTCCGGGACCCAACTCCCAACTCCCATCCATCCGCTTTGCGCCGGGCAGAGCACACCCAGCATGCGCTCCACGGAGCCCAGGATGGCCCGGTGCAGAATCACCGGCCGGGCGTAGCCCGCAGGCAGCGACGCCTGCTGAGCGCTCACTTGGAACAGGCATTTATGTTCACGCGCAACACTAGTGACCCGGATCACACAAACATCTTGAACCAGGACAAACTTCTGTGCTGACTTGTAACACACAAGTGTGTACACGTGGCCGCGTTGGATTCGTGAGGCAGAGACTTCTGCGGCTTTGTCTTCCGCTGAAGTGGGCCAAAGTGTCGGAAATCGCACGTTTGGGCCTCTCTGGAGTTTTCCTGTGCGCTTTCCTCTTATCGGCATATTCCTGGGTTTGCCTCAAGTTTTCCTTCAGTTTTTGCACTTGGAAAGGCGGTTTTCCTTGGCTGCCTTATTTGCCTTGGGTGCTGTCCGTTGGCTTCTCTTTGGTGCTCCTTTCTTGCGAAAAGCAACGAAACACATGGGCAGAGTTTGTGAGGCATCTGCAGCAAACTGCAAAAAAAAAAACGGAGCCATGACAAACTGTGACTGTGACAGTCAGCATGTTCCAATGCCGGTGATTCACATTTTTGGCGGGTAGCTAGCGAAGTCAGGAAAAGACCACCGTGACAGGAGCAACCTCATTTTCTCCGCTGGCCAGAGGCCTCCATCTTGAACACCTCTCACAGTCCTTCACGCGGTTTTTCCCCTTTTGGCCGGCTTGTCAATCTGTGCCTCGTCGCCGGTTTCGGCACTGTCCACGCTCTCCTGGCAAAGACGAAGCACACATGCGACAGAAGGGCACGTGTATACCTAACGCCCCGTTACCACTGCGGTCCTTGGGAACGAACGAGTGCCCTTGCAATGCTCCTGTGACTCGTTTCGCCTCTTTTGTGACACACAGCACTCGGCTCAAGAGCCTGCGAACACTGGACTCCCTGTGAGGTTTCTGGTGATGTGAAGCGAAAGCGCCGCTTGGCGGACGCAAAACAGACCAAGCGCCAGGAACTTCTCCCCAGGCCTTCTCTTCCAGGGCCTTCTCAGTCTGGTAGCGGAGATTGAAACGCAATGGCCTATGGCCAAGGCAGGCCATGTCCATGTGAGTGTGAAAGAAAAGCAAAACAATGACCCGATTTTGCACGGCGAAAATGAAAGAGTCGGCCATGCGGTTTGTCTCAAAGTAGGACTTGCAAAACATGGCAAGGTGATATCCTTCTGGTTCCCCTGAAAAGCCCAGAAAGGGTTGTCTCAAAGTAAGAATCGGACCCCCCAAAACACATGGCAGAGGGGGGGGGGTATGTTTGGCTCCCCTTGAAACCACCTACCCTCCCCAAAACAAATCGGCCCGGTCGGAAGCGTGGGCCGCCCGGCAGCTGAAAGTCCAGCTGAATGGTGCCGCACCTGCCATTTTTTCCGGTTGGCTCGCTGAAGAAGGGAAAAAGATACCCTCCCACCGGCTAACATGGAAGTGCACAGACTCCTGTAGAAAGACTATTTTCCTCTTGGAAAGGGCCTTTTTGTCACTTCCATGTTAGTTGGTGGGAGGGTAAGGTGGAGGTGAGTTGTAATCAAAGCCCGGTATTACAATGGTCTATCCAGAACCATGCAAAGAACAAAAAAGCTGGCCGCACCCATGTATGGCTGGGATTGCCTGCCCTCCAAAAAATTATAGGTCTTCATTGTGACTCAGGTGGGCTTAGAACAAGTGCTTTAATCTTACCCTGTTTTCTTGGTGGCTTCTCGAAAGATTGGTATCCCCGGGGTGTAGAATGGGGAAGTTACCTGCAGCTCAAACGTTGGGGGGCGGTGGGGGGGCAAACGTTAACGTGTTAGCCCAACTGCTTCGGAATTCCCGCTCTTGATAATTGTTGGAAGCCTCCAGCCCTAGATTACATGGCGTACAGTAATTACTCCGGTCAACCAAGAAGCGGCAGCCTATCGTGACATGGTGCCCCAGCAACCTACCCCAGGCCATGGAAGCTCCCGAACGGACCCCTTTGGAAGACTTGGTTCCATTTCCCGGATCGGCCAATTGGGGGATCTCAGTGGCCATTGGGGGGGAAAACCAGACAGACTTCATATTCCAACATGGAAAAAGTGAAAAGTTAGTTATTTATGGCAAAACCCCGGCCGCAGTCCAAACTCCAACCCCCCGCCGTGTCTCCTCCCCGCGAAAGGGCCCCCGGCTGGTGGCCGCGGCCCAGGGCGTCCTGGAGCTGGATGTCGATCTTGGGGCCGTAGAAGGCGCCTCCGGCGAAGCGCGTTGCGCGGAGCGCGCGGAGCGCGCGGAGCGCGCGGAGGTCAGCCAGCCCCTCCCCAAAAATGGGGGGCTCCGAGTTGTTTGGGGTTGAACCCGCATTGGAGATGTTAAACCGGTTTATCAAGATATTAGTGAAACTAAACAAATCAAGCATGATGATAGAATACCTGGGTCTTCCAACATGTGCAAAATTATTGCCGTTTTGTCAAAAACTATGTCTTTTGACCCAACGGCGATTATTTTCGCCTGCCGGCAGTTTCAGTGTTTGCGCACTCTAGCATCAATCAAAATTGCAAAACGGCGTAACTTGCCGTCAAAACGGCGTAATTTGCCGGCGAAACGGCGTTTTTTTTTGCCTGGTTCCGAGCTGGACTCACGGCGAGCGCTTTTCCTCTCAAGAGCGTTTTTTTCAGCAACCGGCAAAAATTATTGCTGTTTTGGGAAACGGCGTTAATTTTACATGTTGGAAGGTCCAGGTATATAACCCTCCCTGTGGTTTGGTGGTTTGGAGTGTTCCCGCATGTTCGCCATGCTTCATCCCTTTTGCTGGATTTCCCTACACATCCCCATGTATTACGGACCTTTTGATTGTCTGCTCACCCGAAAACAACTCCGGTCATCCCAGGTATCACGGACCTTTTCATCCACCCCGCATACGGGCTCCGCATCACCGGACCTTTTCATCGCCCCAAAAACCAAGCCAACCCGAAAACGTCGGCGTCGCTTCGTCGCTTTTCGAAAAACCGAGGCCCGGGCCATCGCCCTTCTTCAGGCTCCAAGGCTTCCCAGTCTCCTCCAAGGCCTCGATCAGTTTGCGAGAACCGTCTTCGGGCTCGGAGCTCGGGTCTTCGGGTCGCGAAGAGGGGATGGGGGAGGAATTCCCCCGGGTCTATTTTGCAACCTCCTTCGTTTAGGGTATTGTTTTTTTAGTCCATGGCACAGAAACCCCCCCCCCGCGGTGTGTGCTGCACAGGAAGCCCTTGCCATTCATTGTGGGTTCCACGGTCATTTGAAGACGGAAACCAAAAGGAGTCCGACCCAAAGACACCATTTTTCTAGGGTTCCCCCGATTTCGGAGACACAGATGTATGTGCACAGCCGCCCCCGTGGCAACTTGTACATGCGAACGTCCCGCCTGCTGCAGTTGCTCCTCCGCCCGCGACCAAAGCCTCAAACACTCGCATCCGAGCTGGACATGTCTGATGGCCCTCTCTTGGGCGATCCCGCTTTGGCTGGTTCAAAGGGGTGGGTATTCAAAGTATGGGAAACGCCATGCAACGCTCAGGTCCGGCTCAATCCCGGATCGGCGCCCATTTTCCGAAAAGCCGCGCTGTACAGGGCGTCGCGGCGACCATCCGGGACCGGAGCGTCTCCTCGCGATCCGATGAGTGCGATGCGTGGATAGCCGCAGACCGCAGACCCCATGAACCACGCTACACACATCCCGCATGCTATTCAACGAATCAAACAAAAACAAGTTATGCATGAGTTCCTATGACTTCTTGTGAAAGGCTTTTGAGGCTATCGATGCAAGGCAAATAGCCTATTTGAGGTTGTCATGGCTGAGCCCGAACGCCGCGGATCGAACATCCTGTCTGCCCCTCCAACTGGACCCAGGCGTTAGGGTGGCAACTTTTGACCCCGAGAAACAAATTATCTTTGGACAGCGGCAGAGCGAGCTTCCGCGAGCTTCATCGCCCACCTCCTCTCCCAAGGCCACGCGGCGCTGGCGGCCCACCTGCGCCGGGAAGAGTCTTCATGTCAAGTCTCCGTGCCCTGGGCGCATCGCGTGTTCTCTTTCGATTTTGGTCCGCGCAAAAACTGCAAAAGAATCAAAAGAGGGGTACCCTCCAACAAAGGCGCATATGGCTGTGGGTCAAAACCAATGGTACCATTTTGGGGTACATTTTCGTGTATTTTAGTGGGGATTGGGATGTTCACTGGGGGTACGATTTGGATTTTGACACACAACCATATAGCATCTCCTCTGCGCGCTTGCCGTGTCTATGGATCTGCCCAATGCGACGGACATTGGTGTAGGCTTGCAGAGAGCAAGGTCTGCAAATTGGAAGATCAAAACTCCACTCAGCAACGACACCATTGGATCAGCCAAAAAAAGAGAAGACTGTGCCCATATGATCCCTTCTTAACTCAGCTGCAGTCAAGTCGCAATTGACAACATACTTGTTTTGAGGATGAAACATGATAAGCACCAGAACTGATGCCAGAGGCACCTTTGTCCCTCAGCAGGCTAGCCTGTCTCTCACACCGCAATGATGCGGAAAGAAACGAGCACGGCATGCAAGCCACCAATTCGAGTCACGAGTCTCGCGCGATTTACCTCAAATCTTAGCCAAGTCGTCGCAAGCAATGGCACACATGAGACTGCCACTTCCGAGCTGCCACTTAAAGGTTATATGGCTGTGGGTCAAAACCAATGGTACCATTTGGGGTGGTGCACACCCATTTTAGTCCTATTTTTGTGGGGATTGGTTGATGTTCACTGGGGGCTAACCGGCCTTTTGACATCTTTTGACCCATACCCATATATAGGAGGGCCCCGGGAAAAGCTGTTTGGGAGCTTCACGGCTGCGGAACCTCATGGCCGACATGAAAGCCGAGCCTCGAGCCGCAGAATTTCGCAGCTCCGTCTCGCCGCCCGACGTCAAACTCCTGCGGGGAACGATTATTTTCTTCCCAAATGAACATGGAACCCCAAAAAACCACCATGGAGGGTTCCAGGTTCATCTGTATTCTGCAACATGGCCCTCATTCAACTGGATTCCGGCTTGCTCAAAGCAAAAGCAAATTGAAGCAATCTCCCTTGAACGAGTCCTTCGCAGGAGTCGCCCACGGAGTCCTGATACGGCCAAAGCGACGCGCGAAGCGCCGCCATCTACTCGGCAAGGCCTCAACTAAATCCGGTAGGTTTCGCAGAAGCTGAAGACTCAAGCAAATTCGGTCAAACCAATAGGACCTTTTGCAATCTGAAAAAAATGTGAGGTTGTGCGTTTTGAGGGTACCCCCAACAGAGGGTTAGTTTTGAAGGGGCACCAAAAGGAAAGCCATCATTTTTGGGGTCCCCCTGCTTTGACACACGTTTTTGTACGTAGATATCTGTAGGTTTCTGGGTGCGCGTTTTTTGCCCCGGAACCACTGAGGGGCAACCTCCACAACGTAGGTGGCTGTGAATTTGCTATGGCATGTTCCTTTTTCTTGGCCATGATATCCTGTGCAAGGAGTATGGATGCCATTTGTTCCTTCCCAACACTTAGTAAAGGGCTGACGCGCAACGCCTTGGAACAAACGCAACATGGGTCTGCTTTTTCTTTGAGTCTTTGAGTTGGAACTAGTAGCCCTTGGAAAATCAACGGTTGAGGTATGGGGGTTGATCCAAGGTCCTTTTCATAGAGATGACCATTGCGGGAAAGCTAAAAAGGATGATATGTCCCACATGGAACAAGTTACCCCTTTGTCTCTTTGGGGCCTCGAAATGGATGGCTCAACTCCCACACAGGCCAAAAAATAAAAATAAAACAAAAAAGCCAAAGCCCCGCAGTCTTGGCCGCAACATGCTTGGAATATGGGGCTCACCCCCCCAGAAAAACCGTTCGGCCCCTTCGCTGGGCTCCGAAAATTCAGCAGATCCGATCCGAGCCACCCAGGCGGCGAGGCCCACGAGCTTCTCGCCCAAGGCCTCGCCGCCCTTTTCGCTTGGGCGCGAAAAAGTTCTTCGGCGGGCTGACCGAAAGGACCGAAAGAACCGCGCGAGAGCCGCCCGTTTTTTTTGGGGGGTTGAGAGAACACCCGGGCGATTTTTCCATCATTGGGTCTGCAATTGACGGCACAAAACAGGAGGCAGCGGACATCCTGGAGGTGAAAGTTGACGTCGGCCAACCCACCAAGCGTCCAGGAGGGGGCTCCCAATGAAAATCCATCATAGAAATTCGGAGAACCACTCAAGGAAGGCTGCTTTCCAACCCTTGGTACGGTACACAACTTTATGTTTTGCAGCCTACCAAAGATGAGCAAGAAAGCAAACAATGGTGATGGCTGGTTCTGCCCTTCGTACATCTTGGAGGGTTGCCCCGTGCAAACGGCCATCAAAACGCAGCCGGCCTTGAACCGCGGGCTGGTAAAGCCGTAGAGACTCGACCGATTTTCCATGGTCAAAGCCATGCTCAAGTTTTTCGCGCACCACGGATGAAGTCCATACTCCTTTACGCTTGGAGAGTGTTACCCTATGCCCAGACTGGAACTCGTGATTTTTCGGCTGTGGGAAGTGCCCAAAGGACATCCTGAAGCCATTTGTAGGTCCCCGGCCGAGAGCTCCGCAGGGCTGCCGTGGTCTTCCCCCGGCGGCGCATGTGTCAGCTCATGCCTTCGCATCCCAGACGGAATGGGCTGGTGAAACATCACAGCCCCGGAAACTGGTAAGGCTCTCCTTGTTGGCGTCCCCCTTCATTTTTGCAGCCCCCAACAAGGGACGAGACAAAAATTAAAATACAAAAATAAGGAAAAAAAAGAAAACACATATGACTATCACGGGCCTACTATACTATATATAGCTAACGGAAAGTCGCTCATCTTCAGGAACATTGCGCACCGCTCTGGCCGGGCTTGAGGTTTACAAGACCAGTCCATGGAGACCTCGAGTTTTCTGCGTGTAAGATGTCAAGTCCCTCTGGCCGAGTCAAGTCCACAACCCCACAAGTGGCTTGTTGAAATTCGTAGCCACGGTTTATGGAGACGTTGATACTCCGCCCAAAAAAACACACATGGAACCCCCCCCAAAGAAAATAATAATATTATAAATTATTAAAACCTTGGGGTGCAAAAGGAGATCCCCGAAAAGCACTGCTGGTGTTCTGGGTTCCATGCTAATCTGCAGCACATTCGTGCCAAGTAACTCCCTGGGATCCTCCTCCAGCAACGGCAGCCGCTCCCTCCACCTTGCCACCCGCGCCGTTCGGCTCAGCCGCGTTGCGGCTTCCGCTTTGGCGTCACCGGCGGATCCGTAGCGAAGAGTGCCTCTTGCAACGCGTTTTTTCGGTGCCCCGAAAAACCGCAGGTCCTCCAACGTCCCTTCTTGGAACCTCAACAGGTTTACTGGAACCCACCCTGAATTTGAGCAACTGTTGAAGGGGCAATCCAGCTGTACCTGTCGGGGACGGGGACAAGTGCCGCAGGCAGTCTTAAGAGTACGATTTGTAGTCATATTGTGGGCTAGCCCAAAACACAGAGAGAGAGAGAGAGAGAAAAAAAAAAAAAAAAAAAGAAAACAGATTGCCAAAGTTGCAAGGGTCCTTTCTGAAGTCTAGCATTGCTCCTAATGGTCAAAGGCCAGCAATCCCTTAGTTATCAAGGCGCCCTTGTGCTGGAAGAGCCCATCTCCAAACTCTTTTCTGATTCGTTGGCATGGCACACGCAGTTGCCTCTACGATACCCGGCGCGCAGGTGCAAAAAATGCCTGAGGTATCGGACCACGCCGCGCGTGAGCTGCTCCTTTGGGCGGCTCACGAAGCTATTGAGACTGATGGAGGTGTCGGAGGTGGTGATAACAGCATGCCACCAGAAGGCCGGGATAAACAGCACGTCTCCCGGGCTTAAGTCGATGACCTCCTTCCCTTTGGCCTGGAAAAAAAGCGGGAACCGGGCCTCGTCCACGTCGAAGACGTTCACGTCGCAGCATCGGGTGCCGCTGTCGTACTTGTCGTTCACGTACAGATTTTCGCCGGCCTCCGGCGGAAAGAGCACCACGCGTTTGCTCCCGAAGCATTGGACCAGGAAGTTGTCCTCGTCGTCGTTGTGCAAACCCGTGACGCAGCCGCGCCCGCCGATCCACAAATTCGTCTGGACCGTGGTGCCCCACCACCTCAGGCCCGGCTCCAGCTCACGCAGCACGCGGCAGTGGAGACGGGCTTCCAAAGGCATCTCCCGGTCCAAGTCGAACTGCTTCCTGCCCACACTGAAAGCCGAAGGCGAGCCAAAGAGCCACGATCTTCAGCTTTTGGCCCGAAAAACGCAGAGACGTTGCCGTCAGAAACCCAAAAATTATCATCTTCAATGTCTGGCCTCAAAACTCGAACTCCCCCCCCCCACCCCCCCACCCCCCCAAAACAAAAACGACAGGCGCGTTTCCTTTTCTCCGCTTTTTCTGCCAAGCTTCAGGTAGGGCCGTTGGGCTCCGCTCGACGTCGTCAGCAGCTGGAGGAAGGCGCTGAGCGCCATGCGCCGCTTCCGCGTCTTCCCCGAGGCCTCCTCGATGCCGAAGCTCACCCAGACCTCCCGCGGGTCCTCCGAATTCGCTCCAATTCGCTCCGGCTTTCTTGGGGGGAGGGGCCCAGAGTTTAGCTCTTCCTCAAAGGGAAAGGACACGAAAGAGAAACACCTCCTAAGCATTTTTGTTTTGAGGGACACCGATCCCAAAGGAGCAAGAAAACAAGTGAGCGAAGGAATGACACAAGTTTCAGCCATTCGCCAAATGGTTTAACTCGCAATTTCCTGTCACGTTGACGAAATTTTGGGGAGGGAGCAAAGAAAGGGCGCCTATCGGGCCCCACTTTTTGCTAATTCCTGACCTGGAAGAGCTACAAACTTAACAAGGGACATTTATGTCCAACACCCATGTTCTTCTCAGAAAAAATGATAGGCACATGGAACAGGCCCAAAACTTGTGTGAACTTTTTGCTTACAAGTCAAATGATCTAATGAGCTTGTTCAGAATGAAATCCAGAGCTCACGCCTTTTGTCTGAAAATGATGGAGTCTTTTGTTCCGGCCAAGCCGCTTGTTCCAAAAAGAAAGCCGAAATCCCGCGGGCTCCAAATCCACATGGTGCGTGTGTCATTTTTTGAGGGTGCCCCTGCTTTGTTTGATACAAAGTTGGGGGCCTCCGGCCTCCGATGTCCTTGCAAAAAAAGAGAATAAGCTAAGGTGATATTTTTCTGGGCTGAGACTAAATCCATATAGCTTTCAGCTGGGGAAAAAACGACACAAATTGGAGGGGCCTGCGATGTCCGTTCAAAAAAAAACAGCACAGAAAAACAGGTCTTTGTCACTCATTTTGGGGAATGGGGGGGGGGGGGGCGCCGGCTTCCTTCAAACAATAAAAGAACAAACACCGTCTTTGTTGTCGTCTGGTTTCCTTTAAACAAAAAAAGAGACAAACTTTAAACAAAAAAAACAATCAACGTCTTTGTCGTCCACAAAAAACATGGCTGTGGGCCAAACATGTGTGCCCAAAATGGCTGGCCCTGGGAAATGGAAATAAGGACCCAAAAAACAGCAGGCCCCTATAGTCGTTTCATTTTGGCTCATGCCCACATGTTTTCCCTTCAAAGAAGAAAATCTGCCAACGCCAGTCGAGCGTGCAACTTGGTCTTCCTTCGGATCTCTTATCAAAGCCGAAGACTTTTAGGGCTGCCATTTTTTGAGCATGGTGTGCTGGGTGTCCAGAACCCTGTAATTTTCCAGTGTTCTTGGGCTTGCCTGCTAAAAACCTGCGTTTCGCCTAGGGGGCTGCATCCCCAGCATCATCAGGGTTACCTTGCTGCTATGAATTTGTCTCTTTTTTTGCAAATGCTAATGGTGCTTTGCTGCTTCAAGCGATGTTGGAATCGGCCTGTTAGGGGTCTGGGTGGGGCCAAGTGCAGTGATACGTCAAGGAACTGTTTGAAGTTGTAATTATTCACCTGTACGGAGCGGAGCAGTTACTGAGACACACCCGCATTATCGTGCTTTTGGAAGTCTATTCTTAGGGTATTTGAAGGGGGTTGCTAGTATCTGCTTTTGATGGTTGATGTTGGGAAATATCAACAAATCCTGCCGTGTTTTTGTCTTTTTTGTGCCCAGCCGGCTGCATTCCCAGCATTCCCGACATCTCTGGTATTTTCTGTGTTGCGTCAATTTTGCGTGTCTGAAAGTCTTGAAATGTTGGATTCGAAGATTGGGTCTGTTCCTGTACGTCGTGTGGCTGCATCCCTTGCATTTCCAGCATCCCCAGCATCTGGGACATGTTTCCTGACTGAAACATGTGCCAGACTTCCACAAAAAAAAAGGTCTTAAAATCCCTTGCACCCCACTGGCGTCGGCGGATCGACGTAGCGATTTCAATAACAAACAACGTCTTTGTTGTCATCCGGTTTCCTTTAAAAAAAAAGAAGATAAGAAACATGGCCGTGGACCAAAAATGTGTGCCCAAAATGGCTTGGCCTGGGAAATGGCAAAAATGGAAATAAGGACTCCCCAGTCCGGTTTCACTTGGACTCATGCCCAACCAAGACAAAGACGGGGATTGTTTTTTTTGTTTGAAGGGAGGCAATTTTCCCTTCAAAAAAGAAAGAGGAACAAAAGAATGGTCCACAAAAAATAGTCCATTATCTTGGTCGTCCACAAAAAACAAATCTCCTCAGCGAAGCTCTGAGGCGTCCAGCCGCAGCAGGGCCACGCCTTCGCTTCCCGCAGCTTCCGAACCCGGCGCCGGCCCAGCAGGCGGCAGCGCCGCAGCTGGCGCCGGTCCAGCAGCCAGGCGGCGGCCAGGAGTGCCCCCAGGGTCCAAGCGACCTGTAGGGTTTTTCAACATGGTGGTTCTCTTTCGACAATGGCAAAACAAAGCCACATTTTTTGGGGATGTGTTTTTTTTTCCGAAAAAGAAGCAGCACAACTTGGGGCACCATGTTTTTGGGGGTTGTGATTATTTTTCCAGCATAGTGGCTTTTCGAGCAAACCCGGAAGAAAAAGGAGAAAAAGGAACACCACATTATGATTTCTTTTTCTTTTCTTTGTTTCGGGGGGGGAGTTGCCACCTGTGGATGGAAAAATGCGACCTACCGAAGATGGAGTTGCGAAAAATCCATTTGCTTCTCGCACCAAGGGAAACCATGGGAATGAAACCATGGGCCTTTGTTGGTATTTACAAGGGAATCATAGGACCTTTGCGTTGTTTTTCGACATGATGGTGTTCCGGGAAAAACTATGCAAAAACGGAAACCACGATATGTTTGCTGGAATTTGGCACTCGCTGGGGGATTCTCAAAATTGGGAATCGGTAAAAAATGGAAAGGGTTTCCTTTCGGTGTCCGTTTAAATGCCAAGCAACACGCAGTCCACCGTTTTGATGGTACCCTTTGGCAGTTGATTTGGAGAGAAAGAAAAAGAAAAAGAAACATTTCTGGGGAGGAGGGTGGAGTGGAGGGGGTAGTGGTTGGTTGGCTGGCTTGTGTGGGTGGTTGGGTGGGTGGGCGGGTGTGCGGGTGGGTGTGCGGGCGGGCGGGCGGGCTGGCGGGTGGGTGGGTGGTTGAACATGCAGAAGCGTTCTAAAGGGTAGTACGGCTTGAATGTCAAGGATATGATCAAAATGTGCGGGTCCATTGTTGCCCGAAAGAAGAAAACTGTGCGACAAACAAAATGATCTGCAACCACGCAAAACAAAGGGAATACGGAAACCGTTCCATAGGTGATATGCAAGTAACGACTTCGTAACGCCTCACAGTTCTCACGCACAGCGAGCTGTGCTAGGAGCTGGCCGGCCTCCAGGAAGAACCAAATCATCACGGCATCGACTCGCCCATGGCTCGAAGCGAGTCAGTCGCTGGAGCGAGAGAGCGAGCCTCTTGTTGTTGTCTGGGCTGCTTTTCTGGCGGATGTCATCATGTGGCTCGCACAAGAGCATGCCTGAGCCGTAGTGGCTGCGCCAGAAAAATAAAAATATAAAACAAAAGTGGCCCCTGATGCCGGAAACACCTATTTTCCAACACTCCGTTGCCCAAAGCACCCAGAAAGTGGTTGTGCTGTGCTCCGAGTCCCGCCAAGCACTTGAAACGATTGAAACACAGTGAAACAGCTTAATCACACTGCGAAAGCACTACCAGCCCTTAGATTCCTTTTGGGGCATGCCCTGAATCTCTCTCCGAGCATCCCGGCGGCGGCTTTCGCTCCCATGGCACCCACCCGCGGATCGATCCGTCGGAGAGCGCGCCCGCGCCTGCGTCCGCCATACTCAGCGGCGTGGCGGGGTCACGGCCAGGGCCCAGGAAGGGCGCGGCATCCACGGGCAGCATGGCCTAAGCGACAGCTGCCGCCTCCCAGCCCCCCCCCACCCCCGCTCCCAACGTGGGGAGAGGTTGCACCGGTTGCACAAAAACCAGACATCAGTGAGGCAGCCATTGCGATACAATCACTGGCGGCTTGTCCAAGATGCTCTGCGCACCTGGCCACTACCTATCGTGGCGTGTCTTTTTGGAGGCCAGTTCTTTGATCAATCCTAGAACCCTCAAGTGAGTGTGAAGCTGCTCATACGGGCTCTCAAAATAGTGGTCCCCCCAGAATGGTGGCCCTTTGGGCCTCCCCTTCAACCAACCCCAAAAGGGGAACCTCCCCAAAAAATGACACCCCCATGTGGTCCAGATGGCGACTCTGCGGCCTTAGCCTTTCGAAAAATACGCGAGACACGGATCCCGACCCCCCGGTGTTTCTCAGCCCGAGTGGCCACGTACGCGGACACCCGAGGCACTCGGCCGACGTTTCCTTGGGCGACTGAAAATCACTCGCTTTGTGCCCAGCCCGTGGAATGGACTCACAGCGAGAAGGAGCTTCCGCGCGCACCCTGGCTCAGATACCCGGTGGATTTCCATGGGAAAAACAAGGGCATCCTTCTTTGGTTGATTGACTTTAAAGGGGAACCCTTCCCAAAAAAAAAGGACCAAAGGCCAGCATGAGCAACTGGGCTAGGACTTTGTGCCAGAGTTTCTGCTGGGGCCGTGGGGCAGGGCTGAAAGCCACAGCACCAGTGATCCAGCTTTGGCCTGGGCGCACTGCGTGCAGCGTTTGCCGACAACAACTGCAGGATCGAGCTTGCATTTTTTTGACTTTGAACACGTGCGAGCGATCAAGCGTTTCTTTTCCAAGTTCCGGCCCTACCAGCACCAGCTTTTGCAGCGCCTCCAAACCCGTTAAGGTCGCCTTAAGCGAGGATTTCCGGCCAGCAGCTTCTGTTCCAGAAGTAATTACATTGGAAATTTGCGGGAAGGTGTGCCCACTTTCTCAATAGGTCACAAAACAGAAGGAAAACATAGCAGAAGTCTATTCTGAGGATCTATGTCCGTTTTTGTAGAATATTTCCCTCAGCCAACCAGAAGGGGTGGTTCAAAAAGCGGCTGAGGCTTCGAGTGGGACGGACCAGCCTTGCACCCCCCAGGGATATATCCCAGAACCACCTGATTCAGGATTCGAAACCGACAAATCAGCTGGTACGTGGTTTTGCCTCAACAGCCAGTCTCCTGGTCTGCTAGGGACCCTGGGTCTTATGAGGGTTCTCACCTTTAAACAGGGAATTGGTTGGGGACTCCAAACATAAAACCACTGCTCCTCCAGATGGTTCAAATGGAACCCACAGTGTCGAGAACCCCTCAACATCTCAGGGGACTTCTGAGAGAGCCACTCTTATTGGTTGGGTTCCCTAAGGCACCCAAAGGAACAAAAAAACAAGATTTCCTTGCTTCCCTTTCCTTTGGTTGCTCTTTTTGGGAACCAACTAATCCAACGGGTTGGTTTACCAAACGCCCTAGAGCCTTGTTTTGGCTGGATTCCATAGGACACCCAAAATAGATAGGCGTAAAGTAAAACAAAACAACTCCAAAGTCCTTTGACAACCCCCACTCCGCCCACCCCGCTTTCTTCTGCCGGAAAAAAAACCCAGCCCCCCCCCGTCCGCCCCGTCCTCCACGTGGCGGGCCATCGCCTGCAGCTGGGCCGGGCACTCGCGGCCGCTGCGCTGCCCGAAGCTCTTGGACCACGGCCCCAGGAGCCGGTGGAAGCCTCCGGCGGAAACCGACACCGGCGGAGTTCGGGCGCCGACAGGAGTCGGCACCTGCGGGAAATCAGACGGGCGATCCACATCTTCCCTAGAGTCTCCAAATGAACCCCTAGAAAAAGGGGTCATAGCCCCTGAAGCTTGGGCAATCAACCTATTTTTTTGAGGGTCGTGGAGACTCCAGGGCGTAAATGGATTGGAAGAATTCAATGGATTCCAAGGGATGCTGCAGAGATTGCGCCGAAGCAATCTGAGAACCCCTTTTTTTGATGTCTGTGAACATGGACCCCTGACTCTTGAACCCAACACAAAACAACAACAGGCAAAACTCGACTCGGCAATCAAAAGACAAGGCCAGGCGCAGTCGACGCTGGAAAGAAAGGCCGGGTCCGAAAAAAGCGGTCGCATTGCACAAAAAAATAAGATATCGAAAGGGTGGCTGCACCTTTTTTTTGGATCATCCCTTACTGACCTTCAGCTACCCGGGTTTTGATTGTGGCGCATCCGGCTCACCTACAACCCCAGTAAAACCAGGCAGTAGAACCACCTAGAATTGCTCTTTTGGGCCTTCTAAGCGCTCACCTGATCGCTCCATTTGTGCGCGCCGCGCGCGCCTGGCACCACACGTAAGGCGCCCAGCTCCGCTGGAGTGTCCTGTCGCTTCTGATCGCGGGCGAAAAAAAAGGAAAATCTAGGGGTACCTTCCATTTCCATTTTGTCCAGACATCTTTCTTTCTAATAAACCACCCAAAACCATGGGGAAACATCTCAGCAGTGAGAAACACCCCTAAGGAAATTACTCCAGCTTCCGCAATCGCTTGCGGAAAGCTTCCGCCAACCGAAAGGTCGCTTACGTTTGCTTTTTTTCGAAGATGGAGCTTACCCATAGCTTACGACAAGTTGCTCGCGCCTGATCCCACATAAGCAAGAGGCGCTAGCATGACAAAGCAACAGGCAACAGCTTGCAGATGGAAAGGCTGCTGCACAGGCCCAGCAAAACAATGGAGGGCCAAAAGCTGAAAACAAACTTTCGGGGCACGAAAAGTTTTTTCTGCAGAAAGCGCGCGGGTCCTCTGAGCAAGAGGCGCCAGCACGACAGAGCAACAACTCGCATGGAAAGGCACAAAGGCTTTGCTGCATAGGCTGAGCAGTGACATAGAGGGGGAAAACTTTGGGGGCCCGAAAAGTTGTTTTCTAGATCCACCACAAGCAAGGCGCCAGCATGACAGAGCAACAGCTTGCATGGAAAGGCGCAAAGGCTTTGCTGCACAGACATGGAGGGGCAAAACTGAAAAAAAACTTTCGGGACCAGAAAAGTTGTTTTCTTGCGTGGGTCCTCCGCGAGCAAGCGGCGCCAGCATGACAGAGCAACAGCTTGCATGGGAAGGTGCAAAGGCTTTGCTGCACAGCCTTAGCAGTGACTTGGAGGGCCCAAAGTTCAAGAACGCTTTTGGGATGGAGCATTTTTTCCGCAGAAAGCGTGCGCAGAGCTACTATGATGCATGCCTGTCCGCGGCAGAAAGCTGTGTCTGGTGAGACCGACTGGCGACTGGGCTCTCAGGATGAAGAGGAAGAGGAGGACGACGAGGATGTGGACGAAGACCCACGCAGCGCTCGTAGTTGGCGAGCCTTTTTGGCAGCTGCCCGCTGCAACGACAAAGCCTTGGCAGAGCACTTTTCCAGAAATGAAGGGCGGCTGGGCATGACTTCCGCAGCAAAATCTTTCTGCGAAGCAAAGCGGCGGGCGATGGCGTTCCGACCCAGCCTCCAGGGCTCAAGCTCAGTGGCAATGGTCTCCTTGATCTCCCAAGCAAAAGTGTGCGCCTCGGACAGGTCGGAGAAGATTTTGTTCACAATGTGAACTTTTTTTGGCAGACGCGGGTTGGGCCTTCCCTGTAGAGCATACAATCTCAAACTTTGGGCCAGATGGATCTTCTCTTTCCGCGGTCTTGGATCCAGCCTGCAAGGCACACGAAAGAGCAATGGAATGACAAAAAACTTTTCGAGCCCCGAAAAGTTTTTTCAAGGCCGGGTACGTTCGGAATCATTTGGTTCGTGTGCAAAAAAACTATTCACAAATTCCAAAAGGTTTTCTTTGAGGGCTGCGGGCCTGGAAGCAAGCGAGCAAGTGGTCCAGGTTGTGGATGGGCAACGATGCGATCCACTGGCTGATCCATTTGTTGCACCAGCCGAAGCAGCGGTCGACGCAGACTTGCCATATTGCTCGCCCAAGTAACAGACCTCTATGGGCATTTGCAGAGTCAAAGGTAAGGTGTGGCTGTAGTGGGCGAGGTGCGCATGCTGGCGCGTGATGCTCAGAACAGTGTTGGTGAGCATGATGGAAGCTTGTGCATCATGGTCCAACATTTCTGACACGAGGAGGACAAAGAGTTCAATGCGCCCGCCCCCAGTCCTTGCTGCAGTGCTTCTGAATCAAACGCGGAAAGGAAAAAGAAGCAAAAAAAGCACCAGCCAGAATCAGACAAAGGCACTTGGGAGCCAGAACGTTCGCTCCGAACACAGTGAGGCTGAGTTTATTGCGCGCGTGCCACGCCTCAGACATCTTGTCAGCCAATGGGTACTTGTTTTCCTTAAAATCGGTCTGAATGATGAGCTTGGGGGGAGTCGTCACTGTAGTTTCTCAGGTTGCTGGCTCTGCCGTCGAGCTGACATTTGATGCCACTCGTACGCCTCCAGGATCTCAATGTGAGGCTTCACACGGCACACGGTGCGGAACGGCGGCTGCGCAAGTCTCCCCTGGCCGCCCTGCGAAGCCCTTGGCAAAGTGGATCCCTCTCAGCATCACGATTGCGCTGCGAAACGAAGGACTGAAAGCATCTTGGACGTGCTGCTGCGCTGCTCCAGCTCATCCAACTGGTTGGCAGGCAAGGCGTCGCTATACCCGGGACAAAGCTCCACAAGGGCCGTGCGGATTTTCGCGACGAGTGTCTGGGCTGCAGGGACAAGGCGCTTGCTGTAGTGTTGGCAATGTGAACACACGTCGGTGTTCCTGCGTGGGTTCCGAACATGAGGGAAGTGAAGCTGGAGAAGTTTCCTAAATGGCTCCAACGTGGCGTTCAAAACCCATTGACTAGACATTAGCACCCTCTGTACTTTTGCGCTCCTATCTGAAAACACAAGGATTTGTTTGGGCCTTGAAATGCAACCGGCTTCAGCTTGGAAAAGCTGCGAGCGAAAGCGCCCAGTCCAACAAAACAGTCCAACAAACCCGCAAACAAGGTAAGTGACGCAGGCAGACGGCAGCTTCCCCGCAAACAATCCCATTTCTGAACAACTGCGGCTTCCTGGCCATGAGTAATGCCTGGTGCGCACTTGTCTTCCCCAACATGTCAGCTTTGTGTTCAACAAGGCAAGTGCTCTCAAGCAGACAACAGGCCCGGCGCCTCTGTCAAAACAAACAGTCCAACTTCCCGATCAGCTCAGCCAACCTCTGAGCATCACGCTTCGGCTTACTCGGAACGTACAATTCCGGCGCCGCAACGAATCAGCCTCTCAAGTCTGCGTCCAGCAGCAACTCAGACACCTTTTGGTGGCCAAGCTGATGCCTTATGGCAGCCAAACAAAATGGGCAAGCGCTGCCGCGCTGCTTGGAAGTTCGAGCTTCAGCACAGATGGCGCAGTGCGAGAACTTCTTACAGGCTCCACCAAAGCCCTCAGGCCTTGGCCGTTCAGCCTTGCCCCCTTTTCCCTGAATCGGCTTATGTCGCTTCTGACCAGCTTCATGCGTCACTTCTGCAACCCTCTTTCGCTTTTGCCCGGCACCATGCATCACTTGCGCAGGAGCCACCACCTGCAAAGCGTGCTGGTCGGTCCCAACAACCACACTCCTAAAGACCATTTGGTGAACGGCTGGCCCATGGCAGACAAAGCAAGGGAACAGCTTACAAACAGCTTACAAACGGCTTACGACAAAACCTCCTCTTTGGAAACTCGGCAAAAACTTTTCGGGTCTCGAAAAGTTGTTTTTCCCGACCAAGGCTTGCTTTCGCACTCTTCGCCGTGTCAGTACTTGATTCTGGAGACAAAGTGGCACAAAGCGCGGGAACACGTTTGCCGCAGCTTACAAGGGCTGGCTTGAACTGACACCCCCTCAAAGTTGCAAGTTGTGAATTTCAAGGGTTTTCTTTGAGGGACCGCCAAAAACAGACAGCATTTGGCGAACGATTGGCTCATGTCAGAAAAGCAAGGGAGCAGCTTACAAACAGCTTCCAACAAAACCTCCTTCCCGGATACTTGGCAAAAACTTTTCGGGGCCCGACCAACCTCTGCGCTCTTCGCGCCAGCACTTGCCTCGCAATTAGCTCTTGGCAAAACAAAACCTTTTCGGGTCGGGGATCGAAAAGTTTTTTCACAACCAAGGCTCTGCCTCTGCGCTCCTCTTCGCGCCAGAACTTGCCTCCCGGAGACATATTGGTGAACGATTGGGCCTGGAGAAGGCCTATAGACACAGTCACCCCCCTCACGACTGCCAACGGTGGATTTTCAGGGGTTTCCGCACATCAAAAAAACACACAGTGATGCAACCCCATCACCGGAAGAACGATTGTCAAACAAATCAAGGGGACAGCTTACAAACACCTTACAAACAAAACCTCCTTACCGGATACTCGGAAAAACTTTTCGGGCCTTGAAAAGTTTGTTCCCGATTGCCCACCCCTTGAAACTGTAAATGATGGATTCCAAAGGTTTCTGTTGCAACTCCGTGCGCACTTCCGCAAGGGAAACCCAAAACAGTTTTTCCTGGAGACCATTTGGTGAACGATTGGGCCCGTGTCTGTGCCACTCTTCGGGGCCCGAAAAGTTTCTTGCCACGACCAAAGCTCTGCTTCTGCGCTCTTCTTTGCGCCAGAACTTGCCTCCCGGAGACAATTGCGAACGATTGGGCCTGGCTTGGCAAAAACTTGTCGGGGATCGAAAAGTTTTCTTTGCCCCGCCAGGCTTGCCTCTGTGCTCTTTGCACCGGCGCTTGCCTCCTGGAGACAAACTGGCGCAAAGCGTGGGAAACGTTTGCCGCAGTTACAAACGGCTGGCAAACACCACGCATGGAGACATTTGGCGAACAATTGGGCACGGCTGGCAAAAACCTTTCGACAAAACCTCCCACGTTGGCCAAAAAACCTTTTCGGGCCCCGAAAAGGTTTTGCCACGACCGAAGCTCTGCCTCTGCGCTTTTCTTCGCGCCAGAACTTGCCTCCCGGAGACAATTGCCAACGACTGGGCCTGGGGAACACAGTCTCCCCCCTCAAAACTGCCAATGGTGGATTGTCAAGGGTATGAAAAAACATATAACGGGAAAATCAACAAGCACACTTCTGGAGACCATTTGGCGAACAAACGATTGACCCGTGTCAGACAAAGCGAGGGCACGGCTTACAAGCAGCTTACAAACAGCTTACAAACGGCTTCTGACAAAAACTCCTCACCAGATGCTCGAAAAAACTTGTCGGGCCTCGAAAGTTTTTTCCCGACCAAGGCTTGCCTCTGCGCTCTTCGTGCCAGCGTGGAGACAAACTGGCGCAAAGCGTGGGAAACGTTTGCCGCAGGTACAAACGGCCGGCTTGGCAAACAACACGCCTGGAGACATTTGGCGAATTAATTGGGCCCGTGTCTGTGCCACAGCTGACAAACGGCTG